TTTATTTTGATAAAATTGGTCAAGCCCACATAAGGCAATATACACCACAGTTAAAACCACCCCCCCACCCCACCCCCCCCCAAAATAATAAAATAAATAACACAAATGAATATAGTACGTAATGTAGTGTTTTGTTTTGCAGTATAGAAATTCCACACAATGATTCTGTTTAAAAAGGTAAAAATGATTTATAATACACAGTTATAATGTCATCATGGTGCCCGCATAGAAAACTGACATGCAATCCATGCCTACACTGCGCAGTATAAATAATATGCAACTAAAAATACAAAGAACAGGAACACTACAAATTGATATTTGTTTTTGTTTTGGGTTTGTGGGTTGTTTTTTGTTGGGGTTTGTGTTTTGGTTTTTTTTTTTTTTTTGCTTTTTTGTTTTCTAAAAAGAACAGACACACGTAACAAACGCTACCTGCGCTTTCACATTGCCATCACAGTGACGGGGGTTCCGTTTTTTTCAGAGGAATAAACGCTTTTTTTTTTTTGTTTTTCAGTTCTCCCGAAAGCACAGCGCACGCGGTAACCTACGGTAGGAGGAGGGGGCTTTCCTCTCCCTGCGGGTACAGAGGGGGTTTCCAGGGGCGGTACCATGCTCATTAAGGGACAGATCTCAAGCCTTAATTATTGTTTCTACAGAAATCCGAGCTTTTACAAACAAGCACAGTCAAGACCTTATTTTTGAGGGGAGTTTAAATGATTCTGTGAGTTACCGGATGCTGCTTTTATGAAACTCAGCGGGCAGCTCGCTCTTTTCATCCACAAGCGTTCTCGCCGCATGGGGTTCGCACCAGGCTTTCTCAGGCACACTTGTTAAAAAAAACAACATTCATTAAATTTAAAATAAAGGTAATAAAATGTACAAATAATTAACAATTTCTTAAATTAATTTGCAGCCTTTTCCTGGAAACCTTTTCCCCTCTTAAGGATAAAAAAAAAAAAAAAACAAAAAACCAAAAACAAACCAAAAAAAGGAAAAATAAGTCAATGTTTCCGTGGACAGGAAAGGTTTTGCACAGTTAGAGCTGGCTGACATGCAGAAGCAGTCGGGTGCTGCCCGCGGTCCGTCGCGCATGCAGCAGCGTGACCGTAACGGCCTGTGCAGAGCCCGGGGGCGGGGGGAGAACGCGGAACACTATGTACAATGCAAAGAGCCGCCCCCTCCCCCCCACCTGCGCCGCAACGCACGGCAGAAGTTCCGGGTTTCTTTTGGAAAAAAAAAAAAAAAAAAAAAAATCACAGTATTTTTATACACCGAAGGTTTATTCCTATTATTTCCCCATTGTATTGGCAAATGCAACAGTCTAACTTGGGAACTTTTTAATATATATATATATATGTATATAAAACCCCACATGGGGTAGGGAGGGGGGAGGGTTCACTCAGCAGGTATGTTTGGACAGTACCCCTTTGAGACACCAGACAGTTTCAACATCATTTAACTGCAAAAGTTATAAATAATACTAGTTGGGTTTGTTGGGTTTTTTTTTTTTGCGAAGTGATCTTTTGTCTTTCCGCTCTCGCCCGTCGCTGGACGGAAGGGCCATCCGCTCCCAACGGCCGTCACCCTCACGCACAATTGAAAATGAAACCGGTACTAATAAATTTTCAAATAAAAATCAGATTACTTGTTCTGAAAACACTGGGGATCCACTCCGGGTTTACGTTTGACAGCTTCACAGATTGGTTTTGCTTTAAAATCAGCTTTATGCAGACACACGTTACAAAAACATCACTTTTAAGGGGAGAGGGGGAGAAAAATCCCTCTCGAAGTGCAGCTCCTTCGTGATGCTGTCAGGAAACCGGGAAGCGAAAATGCCGAGAGCTGTCGGAGTAACTGCTCCGGTGCTCAAAGGGCGGGTACTAAAAGCAGCTTTTGCCTGCCCGCTACCGGGGCTCACGAGATGAAGCACATTTGTCACACACAGCCGTCATCCGCCTCCCATGATGACTTCATCCCACTCCTTCCCGTCCCACAGCACCCTGCTCCGTTTGCCCCGCACGAAAAGGAACGAAACCTGCATTTCGCTCAACTAGATGGTCCCTCATTTTGACAGTTGCATCCAGACGTGTTAGTTTTAAATTAAGGCCATTTTAAATGTCTACTTACAAGTCTAATAAACAAGAGCTCTTATATACACATGTAGTTTAAAAAAAATCAGAAGGTAGCATTTAGCAACAGCTCCCTGTAAGTCTCCAGTGAGGAATCTCGTCTCCTACTCGGATGCTTCACTCTGAAGTGACTCTGGTTTTAAAAAAATAGATCACAAACAAGAATTTACATGCATGAGCGTCATTCGAACGAGAGCGCGATACAGACAGAAATCCCACCAAGGAACTACGTGAACGGCAAGAAGCGTATTCAACTCCCACGGTACCTGCGGCTGTTTCAAAGCAAAGGACTCCGAGTCACCTGTGCCCAAATTACTCCTGCTCTTTTAGGGTAATCCTCCTGTTCAAAGCTACCTTTTTTTTTTTTAATTATTATTTTCCTCCTTAAATTGAAAAAGCATTAGCGATCGGAAATAAGCAGACACCAGGAGTTAACACGTACGACCGGGCTTAAATCCTGACAAAACACATTTTCGACAAAGATGCAGGATAACCTTTCGATTGCGCGGGAAGGAACGAAAGAAAAAGACACAGGTAAGCGAGGAGACCGAAAGAAAAAACATTTTTAGTGCAAATGGTCAACTAATGGCACAAACGTGAGCAAACACGCACCCAGATTAGAGAGATTCCCAACAACGATTCTGCTCAGCAGTCTTTGCATGAATCTCAGGACGGCGTCCCACCGATTTCTGGAAGCACACAGAAACCTAATATAACTCATTAAGAGCGGTCCAGCGCCTCTGCGGACCTTCGCTATCGCTTGCCGAAAACAGCAAGAAAAATCTCGAGGGGAACGGGACGGGGAGAAGTGCTGAGAGGTCGGGGTTTGGTGGTTGGTTTGGTTTTTTTTTTTTTCCTTGAAAGTCACGACAGCTGAGAACGAACGGACACGGTTTTAGACAAAAAGCAAATGCGGCTGATGCGGACCGAGTCGAAAAAGAGCGGGTGTGGGACTACCACACCGGGGGGGGGGGAGAATCGACAAACACAACCCATCTTGAAATGAAAACTAAACCGGCTCTTTTATTGAGGCTACACATAGCCAAAACAGCCGTGGATGTTCAAGCCCTCCTGCCTGGAAATGCCTTCCTCTAGCAGGTATTCCTCCATCTCGGGTGCGGGGTGTTAGGCGCAACATAATTTTTCACTTGTAAATAAGAGTCAAAATACTGTTAATTTGTACCTTCTGCTGAAGAGAAGGGTCCTGTACTTACAGATTCTGCGGCTGTGCAGATGATAGTGTAACGAAGACAACGTTTAACAGTGCCCCTGGCAATTACTACAAGCCTGTTGGGCTCTTGATAAATCTTTAAAGGTGTTTTTCAAATTTGGGAAGAGTCCCAAGCGCAGAGATCTGGGAATCACCACTAATTCAGCCGTGACATTTAAGCGAAACCACCGATTCAGAGTCAGCGGGTGGTCTGGGGTTCGGTTTCGTGTTTTTGTTTTTAATCTGCCATCGATAAAGCGTCATTCCCAGTCCGTTATACCGCAGCACAGAATATTAACGAGGACTAACAGAAATAGTCTATTATAAATCTAACAGAATCTCAACCTGTCCGAGGATACAGTACTACTGACTGCGGAGCAAGCTATTTTTTTCCCCAGGGTGAAAGAAGGAATATCTAAGTTCCTGCCACCCTGTTTTGACTATATAAAAAGAAAACATCTAGACTTGCCTTCGGCTTCCTTACCTCTGCTCAACATCTGTTTAAAATTCCAGTTAGTTAAAAATAACTATATATATAATATATATAATATATTTCTGGAAAAAAAACAACAAAAAGATCATAAATAATGGTAACAGAATAAGTAATGAATAAGAATAAAAAATAAAAAATAGTCATCGTGATTTGAGCCAGGCATTGCTATAGAAATGCCCTTCCTGTTGCCCAGGAATCTCTCACAAAGTAAAATTAGAAATACGCTCTGCAAGTTAGTCTCCTATATTTTTTTAGCTGCTTTAAAATGTTCTGATCCTTCCTCCGCGCTAATCAAGTAATGAATTATAGTATTTTTTTGTGTGTTCAGAAATGCTATATATATATGTATACATATATATAAATATATATATTACATATATATTTAAAAAAAAAACCCAAAAAGCTTTGAAAATAGTGTTTACAGTTGCCTTTTTTTGACTAGCCGGCTACTAAAGGCCATGGGGCTGCCAGGCTGCTTTTCCGCTTTGCCAAGTAGGCGAGTTTGCTCGGGGCAGGAGAAGAGGCAGTGGGTGCAGGACGACAGTCGGGGAGACAAACCTGAAAACAAACATGGCATACCCACAAAGGAAGAAGCGTTTTTACTCTCCGAAGCAGCTGTCACAAAGCAGAGTCAAAACCGCCGAAGGTCCCCCGGTCCCTCCCAGAGGGGGGCAACGCAGAGATTTGCTTCCCAATCAGTCGGGGACGGGGGGAGAGGAGGGGGGAGAGTCATCGCTTCCCCCTCCCCGTCTCAAACAGCAGCCAACAATTTGGTACGTGAGACAGAATCTCTTTACCCTTGGCTCTGAACCTTCCTCGCCTGCCCAAAAAACACCCCCTTCCTAGTGCAAAGGATAAATTGACAACTTAACGCTGGAGCTTTGGTGGGGGGAAAAGTTGGGGGGGGCTCTGGAGAGGAAAAGGCTGATGGAAACTCCTTACTCGTTAATGGCCATGAGTGGATAAGGGGTGAAATACGGCGCGACAGGGAGTAGGGGTCTGCAGCGCTGCAAGCTTAGAACGACAAGCTTTACTCATTGTACATGTTGTACAGGACAGAGCTGCTGCTCTCGGCAGCTCCGGTTCCGACACGACTGACCCATCGGACTCTCTAGTTCGGCTGGGCTCCAGGAACAAGCGTCATTCCCACGCTCCCGGCGTCCGCGCGTCACAGCCGGTCCATCCTGAACGTGTCCTCTGTGGCGGGGTCGGTGAGGACCATGTCTGGGTCATTCAGCATGTGCAGTCCATCCAAGGTTAAAGGGTCAATTTTGAGTTCATCCAGAGGGAACTGGGAATCCGTATCAAAGCTGACGTCTCCCACTCCTGCCAAAGAGCTGGTCAGTTCTTTTGATAAGCTGGGAGGAGACTCTCCCGTCACTGCAGGGAAGAGGGAAGAGAAAGGTGTCGGTAGGACTTAGCAAATACATATTCGCCAGGCAGACGAGTCATAAAACAGCTTGCAGAAATTCTGGAATAATTTATTGAACTAAGGCTGAAGTCCAGAGGAGAAACATCTATCCTCATTTCCAGCTGGAGGAATTATAGATTTGTCAGAGCATCTCAAAACCGTCATAATGACCTAACATGGAGCAAAATTCGTATACGTGTATTCAGGGGCCGCAAAGCGGTGTGACTTCCGTCTCTTTTCTCCCGCTCAGCTTTAGAGGGAATAACCTTAATTTACATGATTCTAATCCTTGGGTGAAATATGGCCTGAACTAGTTTTCTCAGTGGCTTGTGCAGAAATTCTTTCCAAACATCCAACCGTGACCAGATTCGCTACCATATGTGACACTAAAAACCCCTTCGCCGGCCAGCTCGAACAGAGCAGCAGAGGAAGAATTTCAGCTTCCGCCGCTCCTCCCTCACTGCGACGGAGGATCCAGTAAATTCAGAGGCAGGGAAAGCCCGTAAGGCAACGAGCGCTGCCATTGCGGCTCTCCCCGTTTGTGGGGATTGAAGAAGAGCCGTGAGGCTCCCCGGCACGCGGGGAATCCGCCAGACCGGTAACACGAAGGTTTACACAAGGCGAAACAAAACCTTCAAAGGCAACAAAACCCTTTTCCGTTCTTGGCTCCAAGCGAGCCATTGCGCAACGGAGAGAAACACCGACACCGGGATGGTTTTACTGGTCGGTTAAGTCTGTGGTTTTCTTACCTGTAAGAATGATGTTGGGGATGTTTCCATGGCTGGAGTAATTCAGCTGCTGGGAGTCCTGCAAGCTGCCATGACTGCCGGTAAGTCCCATCATGGCTGCCTGGGAGTAGTTAAGGGTGGAACAAGGGCTGTACAGGCTGTTGGAACTAATGGCGTTTTCTATCATGTTAAACTGTTCAAGCTGAAGATCAAGGCACAAAGGAATTATTACTCGTAACCATCAGGAAATACAGCAAAACAACTTACAAAGCAAAAATATGGGAAGTAACATCGGAAGAGACAGGCAAACAAATTCATCTTTAGGTTTTGTCGATCAAAACATGGTCTATTTTCACTTAACTTTCCAGAATAGTTTACTGCCAAATTCAGAGTTCGGGGGCATGAGGAGAGGATGGATGCAAAAAATAAAATTGTTGCTTTTGATAGCGTAAGAACAGAAGAAAAGGTAGCTTTAAAACAAAGTAAAACGAACCATAATTCATGCTGCTGGCTCAGGCATCTGCCCATCCAGCATCGCCTCTCAGAAGCCATCTCATTTTTTCCTGCTACCAGAGCATATTTCGCAGTTGAACGAATCAATGCGCTGGTTGGCCAAACTAACGAAGGCACGGGTCTGCTTGATAGGTTTGGGTACCGTGCACGAGTTGTTTGCCAAATTCAGGAGTAAATATTGTTACCACCTACAAGTGAATCCTTCCCACACGCAACGACGGTCAGAAATGTGGGGTATTTAAAATTTGTTTTCGTTATTTTAAATCCAATAAACTTGGCAGAACACCTTTAAAAACATCTGCTACAATGGCTAAGAGGGAAGAAGGGGAAGGAAGACTGGGGGAGGAAAAAAAAAAAAAAAGAAGAAAAGAAATTCCTGAGTATTGCAAACTAAAAATAACAGAAGTAAAACTACATGGACAAAACGTGACCTCACATAAAATAATCAGAAGTTGATCTGTATTTATTTTAAGCTGAAAGTGGCCGAAATATAGCTGAAAATCTGAGATGAATTTGCTCACCTGATGGGATAGGGCATTAGCCTGCCTAGCTGTCATCTGCTGATCATAATAGGAGTCACCAAATACACTCCCCAGAATGGAAGAATGCTGAAAACAAAACAGAGTCTTTATGGTGCAAAAATCTCACAAACAGACGTACCCACGGTGTGCGAGTGACTCCAGCCTTCGACCGATTCTTCTCCCGGTTAGTTAGCAGTGCCCTTTATTATTAACAACCACTAACCATCAGCAAATTCATAAAAGCTTCAGTATTTCCCTCCAAGACACAAATCCTTCCATGTTACGCTGCCTTTCGGTAAGCACAAAAATACAGTCAAGTAAACCAAACAAAACTTCCTCACGGAGGACGTACAACATGTAAAACTTCGGATTTATGAAAACAGACAAGTGCGCTAGGTAACACGAGAAAGAAAATCACTCTGCAACTTCAGCTTTTTCGTGAACGTTTTTTTTGTTTGGTGAAAGACAAACCCCACACAGAATTAAACTGCACGTTAAAACAAAATGCGATGCAAAGCCGATCACCAGCACGCAAGTAGTGACCCTGTCTCCGCAACCTCATGTTCACGACCAGCCAGCTTCGCCGAGACAACAACATGCCAAGATAAAACCGACGTTTTCAAGTCATTTCGCTTTAGCTGCAGATCAGAAAAGTTCAGGAGAAAGCCCGGCAAAGCGTGTTATCAGCAGTTCAAAGGCAAGAATCTCAGGAAGAATTCCTCAGCCTTGCTAATTTTACTGCCCCTTCTAGCACGACAAGCATTTATCAGTTATTTTCCATCATTTATCAATTATTCTAAAGGTGAACAAGAATTTAAAGTCAATGTTTTACTACTATTCAGTACTGTCCCAAAGAATTGCAAGATATAAAAGAAACAGCAGAGAGATCAGGTCTTACTTAAAACTATCACAAATTCTGATACTCCAGCTGAAAATAAAACAACTACTGACAAAGAGAGCATCTATAAAAGATGGTGTCTATAAAAGACAATTTGCATGGAGAGTTTGTATCAATCTTGAAAAAAAATTCAATACCTTGCGTAGCATTTTCCAGCTTTTATCTACGCACTGAAAGAGGAAGGCTACAGATTTTCGCCTTAGAAACCTAATCAGCATATGAAATTGAGCGAAAGCCGAGAAAATATCAGAACAGAGTTACACCAGCCACCAGTTAAAAGCACTCAACACAGCCGAAGAGTCAGCTACTTAAAAAACACAGGATGATGTCCACACCAGTGAACACAAAAATTTCAGCTAACGTCGTATTTTAAACATTCTCCCTCCTATATCAGTAGCGTATCTCAGCGCAGCTTATTTGCAGGTTGCATGCAAGGAAAAGAATGGAAGTCTTGTATAATTTTTATAATTTGTATAAAATTTGTATAAAATATAATATAAAATTTGTATAAAATGTAATATAAAAATTATACAAGACTTATACAATTTTTATCCCAACCCTAAATTGCCCACAACCTCCACACGAGGGGACTATCAGGACAGAAGCAACAATATATGCCTTTTAAAGCAAACAAAAACCTTCCCACCTTCAGCCGGAGTCCCGGCCATCACATTATACGGCCGCTTTTGGATAAACGTGGCACCAAGGGAGGAATTTGCAGCCCGAGAACGAGCCTCCGCGGGGGAAGGTGGCTGAAAAGTTCAGCACATGCTGCGCGTGCTGCAAAACTCCTCGCTGAGCAGATCCCGTTTGATCCAAGAACCACTCTGAGCATCACCGCAAAGCACTTTCCAGCGGCTGCGTGCGAGGATGCGGGCACCATTCGAATGCACGTGGAGAAGAGAGAAATTTGCTGCAGAACAGCGCTGCTGGATAACGTCAGGACACGGGAAACTGCAGCCTTACGGACCCCCACCGTGCTGCGTTCTGAAGTACGAGACTGGCAGAGTCAGAAAAGGTACCCGACAACTGCCTCCAAACCTTTGTCAGAGGAGATCATACAGTAACTCCTCGGGAAGAAATCATTTAACTGAGTGAAGCCAGCTCATCCTTAAGGCTGATTAAATAGAGCCTGAGCCGAGAATAGGGGTTTATGGGCAAAAATAAGATTTTTGATTGACTTTCCTGGGCATTTATGACCTGTCACAGCAATGACCAAAGAACACTGACGACATCGTTGCAGCTTAACACCCTACTCGATGCCCTCCTTAGAAGCAGGTAAAAATGGAAAATGGTTGTAATTGAAACCGATCTTCCAATTTTTCATCCGCTCCTCGAAACTACTGTGACTGCTCTCTCCCTCGCAAAAGACAGAGGTATGAGGAAGTTACCAAACATCACGAGCAAGAGCCACATTACACCTGACAAGGGAAAAAACAAAGCACCACTTAAAGAAAATAACCCCACCTTTCTTTAAACCACTGGTATCTTGCTGTTGCCCAGGCAGGCTTGGATCAGTTACTCAAACTCCACCTGCTACAAATGTTTTTTTCTTCTTTTAAAAAATGGAGTGGGAGCGCAGAGGTAACTCACGCAAGCAGAGCAGGACCAGCCCAGCTTAACTCTGTCACGAGAAAATCGTTCCCATCATAAGTGGCTTCAGAACTGTGTGATGTTTTATAATAATTTCTAATGCAAACTTTGCGCTTCAGGATGTGGCATACTGGACGTGAATCAAGACCAGTTTGGACCGGCACTAGAAATACAATTGCTGTTTGAGAGCTCCGAAGAGGATTGAGGTGTTTTTTTTTTTTTCCTTTAACTTCTGACATTTCATTTTTACAGGAGCTTTTCAGAAGTATGGCAAAACCTAAAATCTCTGCATTCCACTAAGCACTGTTCCCATCCTAAAAAGTTTGGGCAACATGAAAAATAATAAACAGGAGACCCAAATCTGTGTGTGCAAGTCTACGTTAGTAACTGCTAACAAACATACAAGCCCGTATGTATTCCTCAGCTCTGAAGTATACCAGTTATTACATCTGTAAGCACTGAAACTCCCAAAGGAAATCAAGTGGAAATGTCATTACTTCAACACTTCAGAGTCCTAGAATAATTTATCAACAACTCGGTGAAAAACATCTTGCTAACACCATCTCCTCCAGAAACACTAGATGAGGTCTGTTTTGTCAACAGTACATCTTCTTGGGTTAATGATGTGGTGACTGCAAGAAAAAAAACCACCCCAAACCACAAAACCTCTGGCTTAAATTATTAATCTAAAAATACATACCATATTATCCAGTACACAGCCATTCTACTAAAAAAAAAGCAGATTTCTATCTAATTGGAACAGTACGCCAGGTGTTAGAGGAGAAAAAAAGCAAAGTAGTAATAAACAAGCCATTGTCAATGAAAAGCCATGCAAACACAAAGCTGAGAACTACAAGCAGAGCTTTTCAATTCGTGTTTGAACAAGAAGACCTTCATATAACAAACACACATCTAAAACACACGAGCAAATAGATTTGGAGATGTGGAAAGATGAGAAATAACTTCTGGTGAATGAACCGTATGCGATAAAAATCAAACCGCAGATTTCTATTTTTAGAGCGTGTCACTCATCAGACGGATACGCTGCAGAACGGTTTAACCTAAAATTAATCAGAGAAACAGGAGCAAGTGGAGGACGCCTACCCGGTCACACCTACTCCTTTCCACTCTTGTCAGCCAGTGCCAGACTGCTCCACAATGGGCATATTCCGCTGTTGGAACCCATCTGCCTTTACTCTTGGCAGATTCCGCTACAGTCTAATGGATCCTGCTATTTGGGAGCTGCCCCCATAATCACAACCAACCCAAATTTTTCTTCCAAACTGTTTTTTCTTCCCCCATGGCTTCTCTCCACGCTTAACGTTTGCAACCATCACCACAGCTAGCTCGCTGGCCACTGCTAGCTTTTGGCTCATTGATGGAGGCAGGAAAGCTGTCTCCTTTTTAATTTAGCGAAGATAAAGAATTGTGCGGGTATTTTTAAGACGCCAATGCTGAACTAAGCAGTATTAATAAACCCTCTTTCTTTCACACAGAGTTACGGTGTTCCACTTGAAAACAGCAAACCCTAAGCAAGAGTTTACAGGATAAAACAGACCCAGAAGGAAAAATTACAGCCAAGAGTGCGCTCCACCGGGGAGTGCTTGCTGCACTCCAGTAACTTGGACTGACCAGTGGCAACAAGCCTGTGGATAAAACCAAGAAAGAGTTATTGAGAAGTCAAGGGGGAAAGAAAATCAACGCAAAAAAGTCAAAATCGGATGCCCTGCCCAAATGAGAACGGGACCTGAGAATTTGCAGCAAGACTGGCAACAGCTTTGCTCTACGTGACAGCCTAGAGGAGTAAGTTTGCTTGTTTTCTTTGAGCCACACACAGAACACAGCAGAACTGGCAGAAGCAGGCAGAAGAGAGAGAAGTTAAGAAGCAATTAAGCAAGGGTTAAGAAAATCCAGACAGTCCTGACACTCGGATCTATTACTGAGCTTACCAGTGACCTGTCTCTGGCTAATGGCAAGGAGAGACGAAGCTTCCGCTTTGGAACCATGAAGGGGCAGCACTTATTTAGATAGGATCCTCCTTACAGCCTTAAACGTTAAATGATGAAACAGAAAATGTATTTTCAGACTCTGTTGCTCTGGAAGAATTCCCTGCACCTCGTTTCTACAGGTGGGATTTAGGAAAAGGGCAGCCATACAGAGCTATTTTAGCAGCACCAGATTATTTCTGTACTGAAAAACGCACTCGCTCCCTTACGTTAGGGGCACCCCAAAGACTGCCTTGTTTTTAACTGTCCTGCTGCTGGCAGATAAAAATGCCCTTTCATAGGTTTACACACACACCAAGCTACGACTTGCGTATCGGACACGTGGATGTATAAGTATATACATACACAGGAAGAAAAACCAGCTAGCATGCAACACAGCGTGTTTACTAACCCGTTACTTGCTAGCCACAAGACACAACTGCTAACTTGAAGAGCATTTTCTCCAGGATTTTCCTTCTAAGTGTATGTCCCCACGTAAAAAAAGGTCCTGATGGAAACGCCTTTGGCCACCCAAGTGATATTTAGAGCCGCAGGAGTTATCCTGCTGCAGGAGACACTGAAGTTTCCCTCTCTCCGTCCCCTGCACTCCCAACCTCATCTGTCGGCTCCTGCGCGGCATCGCTAATGGAACGGGGTCTACCTGGTGGTTCTGTCCACAGCACACCCCGAAGAAATAACTGAGTTTTAACAGCGTTCAAATAGCAGCTTTGATCAACAAAAAGGCAATTCACCAGCTATTGAAAAACTCTGGAACTGAATGAAACTGCAAACAAGATGAGACACCAGTAACGCATGAGGCACATACAGTTACAGTGAGACAACTATGGGTCAGTAATGGAGAGACTCAACTAAAAACAAACACAAGAAGCAAGGCCTGTGGAAGCACAGAGTCCCTTACTTGAGGGGAGCTGCCAGGAGAGAAGCCTTGATTGGAGACAGGAGAGGTGGGAGACTGGTTGGCTGGGGATCCAGCATTACTGCGGTACTGCTGGAGTGAAGCCTACAGAACAACACAGAATTAAAGACCATGGGATTGATGGAAGGTTGGAAAATTGTAAACTTCTGGCGTATACAGCTCGAGGAAGCGGGGAGAAACCATCCTCTTCAGCAATTCTTGGCTATGCATGAAGACATGATTGCTGTGAACAATGCCGCAAAAAGGAGAGAGTTAAGATATCAGCGTGGCATGGTCTCGCCTGACCGAACGGCTGAGAGCAGGGCAGTGCTGCTGCACAAGCAACACCGTTGAAATATTTTTCTCACTGTTCTCAGTTACGCTCAATTAAAAAAAAAAAAAAAAAAAAATCTGGAGAGCCAACAATTTAGGGAAAAGAAGTCTCAAAAGCGGGGAATAACTCAAAAATAATTTAATTTATTCTTCAGTTTAACTGCCATACCCACACATTCTTAACCTGTGTTTACACTGCTCTGGAAATCCTTCTTGTATTGCTCTGCCTGGTCTGAAATAGCCTGAGCGTGTTATCAAGGCTGAAGTGCAGAACCACACAGACTGGAATCCTTCTCAAAGCCGCATTTTACCCCAGGATACGGAACAGACATTGTCTGAGAATTCACTCTACGTTTTGCAGGTTTATATTAGCTATATTTACATTGTTCTCAGTCTTCTTGAGAACACATTTCCAAAGATTCACCTTTTTTATTTTTTTGTCATAAAGAACCCTGGATTTGAACAAAATTAATAATCTTAATAGCATTTAAATAGTATGTTGCAGTAATTAACATAAATAGTAAGTACAGCTCTTCTCATTACACTTCCTTTAGAAATTAACAGATGATTGAGGAAAAACTGCAATCCGGTAGTTGTAAGAAAAGGACTAATTTAAGCAGACAGCTTTGCAGTGTGGGAAAACGCTGTACTACCAGTGCTTCCCGACACCAAATTCTGTAAATCTCAAGAAAAATACGTCTTTGTAGCTATGCGTCGCTACTACGCAGTTTATGCAGACGTCCAAACTACAGCAAAATGAATTTCAATATTGCTTTACAAAAACTGCACAGAGGTTGCCAGTGAGACCAAAACACAGCTCAAACGGCTTGCCGATAACCTAGCCTTAAACTTCGGTTTACATACGAATTATTTCAGTTGCTTTAAAAGATAAGCACAGCACCCTAAAAGTTAAGCTCATGGAGAAGTTTAGGATGACGAAAGCAACACAGAAAGCAAAGAATGAAAATCAGAATCATCTGTACTGGTAGCTACATGCGTATTAGAATCAAAACACATGTTGAGTGGGACACATTTTGAGTGGGTCGGTATCCCTTCCACTGCTGGATTTGTCCTTCCCTTTCCCCCTTCCAGTCCTGAAAGGGAAGCAGCAGCTTCTTTCAGCACAAACTGTTAAAAATTTCATCCACAAATCAAATCCAAGATCAAATGCTAGATCAATAGACAACGGTTTCTTCTCATTCTCAAACCAATTACTGTCACTACGACACTGCCAGGAGGACACAACAGGTCAGACAACCGAGATCCCACACAGCAGGGCAGAAGGAGCAGAGAAGCAGCTGTGAAATTCTTCCCTAGCTAGCCTCTGACCCTGATCTTGCCCTGCATTTTGGATTTTCATATGCCAAAACAGACAAAACATTTCATAACAGACCATGTTAAAACAAGCAAGAAAAGAAATCTGTCCATAAACCACCAGTATACGTATGTATACGCTCCGTTTCTTCTGCGCATCTGAAGGCAGCCACAAATCCAATTTTTGAAGATAATCATGTATGCTCTAAAAGTCCTTAAAATGGAAGAGTTCTAAATATAGAAAATACCTGGTTCTCTCCAACTTTTGGAAAATGCTTGTGAGCAGGTTTCTTTATCAGAGTTCTGTTAACTCCTCCAGCCTACAGCACACTGTATAACATACGGTGTGTTGGGGTGCACTACAATTAACAGCCTGAAAACGTATCAATGCACTGACAGCAGCAAGATATAAAATAAATGCTGATATATTTAAACTCGTCTGATCAAACACGGAGTCATTTTATGAAACTCCGGCCACCCTAAGCGTACATTAAAACAAAATTTTCCTCTCTAAAACATTTAAATGTGGATTCAACCCAAATCATTCTAAGTCTACTTCAGACTCTGCCTAAAAGCGTACTTATTGCAAGGGCTGTCCAGCTCGACCTCTGACGCTACGCTGCACGCTACCAGGTTTTCCAAATGAAAGCTCGATCGTTTTCAGCTGTGCCCAAGCTTACCGAGTTGATGTCTATGCCCATCGACGGTTGGGTCTGGCTGCCCGGAGGTGACTGTGGGATGGTAGAAGGTACCGTGACGGAGAGAGGGGGGAGCTGCGTTCCTCGCTGTAAACCAGAGGTCTGCATTAAAGGAGTGTTCTGAGGCAAGGTACTTGCCACCTGGGTCTGCTGCTGTTGCTGGGAAGATGTCTGGGTAAAAAATGGATATGGGGGAAGCTGCTGCTCCAGAGACAACGCATCCATAGCCACGGCCTTGAAGAGAAGAATCAAAATCATCCACGCTGGCAGGTAATTTCCCTTCATTTTCAAGCACATCAAGCTTCACACCAAGTGACTGTACTAAGTCAATCTCATCTTGCATTTAAAAAATGTTACCGAAAGGTTCAGAAACAGTCAAGAACATGTTTTAAAAGACTTAATATCACCTCCAGTGTGCAATAAACAAATCCTCTAAAAGCCCAGTTGAACGTCCAGGTCAGGAATCGACAACCCAGGCAGACGCGGAGTCATACTTATGAAACCAATTTAAAAAGCTAATTGAACTTCTCTCATGACTTAGAGAAATGTCTTTCAAATTTGACAACTAGCTCTGGGACAATACCATTACAGAGAAGTCTCCTAATAGATGTTTTTTACTGTGGTTCTAGAAAAGCAAACGTAAAATGTGCCCCCTCTACAAACCTCTCCCTTTCCAAGGCTCTGAATTAATGAACACATTTAAAGAAGAAAATTACAGAAGAAGAGAGATGAAGTTACAGCCAGCTTCTCTCTAGGTAGAGTAAAACAACTCATCTGTGATTAACAACATTTAATTCTCCAAGTAAGCTCCTACCTGAGTAATCGGTGACAAAGGGGAAAGCGTAGGAGACATTTGCTGTGACTGTGGTCGTCTTGAGTCTGCACTCAAGGAGAGGGGACTGACGGCTGGCTGACGGTGCTGCTGGGAAGGGGCTGGCGTCGTCGTCATTCCTGCCAGGAAGGAACAAACCAGCTTACACGGGAACAGAGCGATGGTTTATTGATACTTGTATAGAGGTAATTACCTAAACGATGAAAAATGAAAGGCGTTAAGCGGACAACCACTTAATGCAAAGTGCCGAATGCGCCTCGGCCAATCAGGCTGAAACTTGTTAGCTAATTTACAATTAATTTTGTCAGGCTGAAGAGCATCGGGATGAGAGGAGGATCCCTGTGGATTATCCTGGACCATACCCAGTCACGGTTGTTTGGATTTGTGCACATATACTGACTTGAAATCGAAATAGGCAGAGCAGCTTCAGCGGTTTACAGAAACCACAGGTATCGTTCTCACACGCCGAACCCAGGAAAAGCACATTCTGCTCTATTTGTAAGGGCTCAAACTTCAGGAAGAAGATAACAGATCATATAACAAACCTAATCAGAAGGCACTTGAGATATTATAAAAGCAAACACCTATTTAATGGAAAACGCAGAAGAAAAACTGGTTACACAGGAAGCACTCCATTTTTAATGGCATACCAGTGCACAGGAAGGCACGAAATATCCTTCACACTCTAAAGAGCCACGACCTAGCAGGCGGTAAGGATAAACAACTCAAGTATTGTAATTTTGTTCAAATTCAAGACAAAAATCTGCACGTTTCGAAACCTCCCCTATTTTCTGCCTCACCCTTAGAGGAACCGAGACACCCTGGAAAGTGATTTCAGGTCAATCTAGCTAGCGAGCTGTTCTTCCAGAGCTGCCAGAAAGGAGGAATTCACAAGAGCCTGTGAGCTTCTCGGCGCTTGGCAAACGCTCAAGGCTCCCAGGCAGGCTGCCAGGGAGCCAGGAAGCCCAGGCTGCCAAGGAGCCAGCAGGCAAACTGGCTCAAAACACGCAGATTCTGAAGACTGCCTGGCTTCCCCTGCGATGTTTTCAAAATCAACACCGTCTCACGGAACATGTCAGTGAACCGACAAACTCAAATGCACAAATGCGTAGTCTTAAATCGCCGGTCGTTCTTTGTAACCTGACAGGTGTTGGTTTCCCCACCTTTTTTGGGGCTGCTGAGGGCAGGCCTGCGCGACGCACTGAGCTCCTGCAAAAGGTTCAAAAGCCTTTACCTTTTCTGCTAAAGAGCTAGAAGATGAAGAGAGGCAAGGAGGGTTTGGAAAAATCAGTTATAAAAGCACCAAACACTGCCTATGCCAAAGATTAAACTATGGGACAGTCTCCAAAGAGAAGCAGAAAAACATCAATGAGTGTATCTTTTTAATTTGTTATGTCTTTCATAGATCAGGAAATGTTTTCAAAGCAATTACATACTTACCGGTTTGGTTTTATACTATTTACTTTGCTAATTATGCTACGGCAAAAAATCTAGCGACCCAATCTGGCCTAACTCCATCAAAGTAGTTTGTTTCTTTTTACACACACAATAGCTCTCTGCGCACAGACTCGCCAAGTTCTGCGTGAGTGACAGCCCATCTCCGAAACTTTACATACCCTCTTCCGAGACCAGAACGCGCGTTAAAGGATGCTGAAAGCTGCTGACCTACTCTGTACTTAAATGGTTAAACCGCCTTCTTGCTTCATTCTTAAATATAACTGCTCAGTCATAACACTACATTAACCTGATTAGAATTATTTCCTTTTCCCAATATATGAGAGGACTTTTAAGTGGGGAAGGGAATCCTGCCTAACACAGGAAATATACTTGTATTTTTGGATACAGCACCTCATTTCTATTCTAGGAATCAACTGACTATAGTTGTCACTGACAATAAAAAATGCAACCCTCTTCTCAACTATTTGAGTACGACTCAGTGAAATTATTTTAAAAATAACAATCACCAGTTTAGGCTATTTGCCTATAAAGTTAAATTTAATCCTGAAGTTATCAGGTGATCAGTATATTAAAAATTGCCAGCATGGCAAATAGTGTTTGTTTGTGGTTTGGGTTGTTTGGTTGTTTTTTTTAAATGAAATTATCAGTGTTGCCAAAGTCCAAAAACCCCAACAAATACAGCTCAGACTCACCATGCTGAACAGCTCAAACAGCAACGGCACTTGAGAAGAACTTGCAACTAGGAAGGCAACAATGTCAACACAAAGGCACCACAGTGACAGCTGTGAGAAATTAAGGTGCGCGCTTGGGTATTATTTCCCAAAGCCGTGCTATGTTACAAAGCCTGAATATTCAGGATAGTTTCAAAACTTAAGCAGTCAATCTTACAAAAACTAGCACGCCTTGTAAAGGTTCCACATTAGTCTTGATTACTTAAAAGAGAAAAACTGGTTGAGATGAAGCAAACAATGTTCTTTCTCCAAAAGAATTCTCAAACAGAAAAAAAACCAACCCAAACATTCTAAAGGAATGAAAACAAAAGGCCGACTTAAGGTATTTCCATAACACAAGTGCTGCTGGGGTTAAGTACCATGAATTACAAGGGAGGCACCTTTGGATGCCAGTCTCTCCTGTAGCCTTACACATAAAATAAACAACCAAAATAACTGAAAAAGCAGATTTGGGCACCAAGAACATGAGAAAAATGAAAGACAATTTGTAAGTCATATAACTAAATACACCTTTCTCACTTTTTCCTGCAGAAACAGCTTGATAAAACTTGTTTAGAAAGAAATGTCAATCAACAGTGAAGCGCAATTACCTCTCAGGCAAAACATAACATTCAGCACTGCACCTTCTACAATTTAAGACAAGTGACATATTATGGACAACCTGTAAAAGCCCCTCAGCGCTATGACCTTACCCTGATTGGCAGTGCTGATGCCCAGGTGAGTCAGATTGGCAGCAAGATTTCCGGTGCTATTGGAGCTACTCAGGGCCGGGAATGTGGATTCCTCAGGATCTAACGGTGTTGGGAGAGGGGAAGGGAAATGGATGTTTGTCAGGTCTGGCAGAGAGCCACCTGTGTTATGCGTAGCAGGAATCAGCGTTGTAGTGTTTTCCTGGTCAGCTGATGGAAAGATGCTAAATACGGGAGACAGGAGGGAAAAAAAAAAAAAAAGAAAAAAAAAAAAAAAAAGACATCTCTATTTAAATTTCAGCCTGGACAGATCTTTATAAAATCTTTTTTAAAAAGGAAGGTGCCATATACAGAACTATATATTGTATTTCTGACAAACCAATCAGAGATGTAATAGCCAACGGGTCGCTCAGAGAGGTTCTGGCTTGTATCTATCACGGCGTTATATCATTTAAGGACTTTTCAGAAAACTCAAAAGCAAGAGGACATTCAATATATAACACTCATTCCTAAAGATCTCAATGCTCTTAAAAAAAAAAAAAAAAATCTCAAAACTTACTTGATTCCTGGAACTTCACATGATTTAGGTCTCGATGACCCAGTCTAAAATAGAAGGAAGAGGTTTTTAAAGGCAAAGGTACTGCCAGAGATCAATGCTTCAGATATATTTCAATTAGTGCATTTTATTTCATTTAATACATTTCTACAGAAGAGCTATTCTTCTACACAAGAGCTCTGTGAAGCTCTTAAAAGAAGATATTTGTCACCTTTGTTGCTTTATCGGCCCAACAAGGCTCAAATTTAAGGAGTTTCTCCTGATTTAATCAAACACGTGCATGCACACATACACATAAAGTGCCTCTCTGATCCAATGTTCAATGATTTGTTGCTAAATACAGCATTTAATCTCTAATCTCTGCAAGTAGTTTGTTTTGGTTGACAATATTTTGAGCATTAGTTTACCTAAATATGTTTAGAAAACAAAACCTCTACACTTAGGAATGTGCGATTCCTACCTTTTTAGTGTCCCATCCTTGCTTAGAGAGGGTTTTGTCTGCCTCAGAGGTGGTTTCCTCCATTCCAGGGACAGTCAGTAATAAAACTAAAAAAGGAGAACAAAAGGAATCATAATATTGAGCTTCTCAGTAAGAAATACTCAGACTGGAAGTTTAACCATTTGAAAACTCCTAACTAACCTATTATCGATGAATATGAAACAGTGGCACTCTACTGTTATAAGATCAAAATTTTAAAGAATGAACACGAGAAGAGACTAAAATTGTATTTAATTAGCAAGGAGACATAATCATCTTAAAAAAACCAAACCAAACCAAAACAATAATACTTCAGAAAAAGTAGGTCCCAAGATACACTCTTCCGTTTAGATCTAAGCAGACTACATTGGAGGCCAAATTTTTTTTATCTTTTGAATTCCGCACGAGTGATCTACACCTGCTGCATCTAACGGGTGGCCAACAGGCCAGTTCCAGTGGGGAAAAATCTGGACCATTTCCCCTGGGATAGAGAAATGCTATAAAGCTGTTAATTCTCTGCATTCCAAGCACGTTTGTATGTTCAAAGCAATCAACTGTTTCATCATGCCAATAGCAAGGTGACAAAGAAACAGGAAAAGAAAGCCCAGTCAGAGATGTATCAACAGAAGCCTTTCACACTGATCACTGTAAATCCGTATTTACGCAGTACTGTTTAACATGACCATTATTTAATGTTTTACAGTTCTAGAAGTATACGGAAGAGCTGCAGTACAGTGCATACGCATCTGAGTGTTGCGTATTCACCTGTCTCTGGGTGGTTGTTTAAGAATTAAATTTCTCTGCACAGATTTAAGAGTTTTTAATGTATTTCTTGAACTGACAGCAGGAACAAGGGCCAGCAGAGGGCACCCGAATTGTTAGTGCTGGAGGGCTGTGCTGCTCCAGCCTGTGACCAGAAGCGCTGTCAGAGCGTTGTTTGTAAGCATTGCCTCTGAGGGCACAGTCACTGGTGATCACAATCCCGTAACAGAAACTAGACGAAGTCTTGCTGTTTTACCGTATTTTATCACTGACCATGAAATCCCTGAGATCTCTACACTTGACTGGAAGTTACTACAAACCTCTGGTACCACTGAGAGCAGTTTAACCACCACAAACCCACAAGATGACTTCTCCCCACAGGGCAAGGTATTAGAATAAGAGAACACGGAGTTCTGGAAAATGTTCGATCAGCATTGTATGATCTTTTCTGGATTTCAGTACCCAGAAGAGTAAATGTGGCCTTTTGTTCCAATTTCTGCATAACTCAATCTAGAAAGTGTTATGCATACGTTTTTATAGGAATAGATGAACACCGATACATGTACGTATAACCGGAAGTACAATGCTTTGAATGTTACAAGCATTTTTGTTGTTTTTCTCTGTTTACCTCTTTTCTGCTGCATGTCCTGTGACCCTCCTGAAAAGGATTCTTGCTGAGTTGGAGTCATAGTACTCTGGTGCAAGGCAGAATCGGAATTTGTCCTGACAGGAAGGCAAAACCAACATTTTTATTGTCAGTTTCTCTAAATAAAAGAAGGTTTATCTCAGATAAACATAACCAACTGGGTAAAACCTGAATACTCTGCATTAAAGAAAACGAAATCTATATATGACATATACCAGCCACAATTTCCTTGTGAAACAATCAATTCGCAGAAGTTAGTTCAAGTTTGACAAGCAATTGTTTAAATAATGGGATTGAGAGGAATACATGATGAATTGGTTGCCGTCATTAGAAAATAATTTGATATGCTTTGTTAAGATTATGCATGATCAAATAATGCAATTTTTAAGTTGAAAGTTGCTTATACATACTTTGGTTATACTAGTCTTTGAAAAGAAAGCTTTCCCGTTTCACAGGGAGGGAAAACAACTGGTTCAGGATGCAATTATGTTGTGGAGATGGGAACCTCCACAGTCAACACATCTCTCACGAGGAACTGTCCTTCGCTTGGCAATGTAGGCCACCACTTCGGCAACTCGGCACCTCAGTGCCAGGAGCATGAGGGGGACGAACGGGCAACGCGGTGCTCCTTTCCACTCGAACGCTTGCGAGGGCAGACTAGCCCACCTTCTGCGCAGTGAGAAATATCCAAGTCTTTTACAACTCAACAATTTTGGGATATGCCTTCAAACACCTGGCAAGATTTGACCTTAAAAAGATCACACTAGGTGACACAGCTTAAGTCTAAATGTGAGTCATCTAAAAGAATAAGCATAATAGAAGAAAAACCGATTTTGAAATTCAGGAAGGTATGGCAGTTCAGATGACCAACTGCTGTGGGGAACAATAAAGGCCTTTGTTGCACACGCCAGTGTTGTAGCATCAGAGAACACAGGCCAAGTACTAACACACATGCACACGATTGTGCTACGAACCTTCTCCAGCTTGTGTCCGATGGAGGCGACAGATACACAGTGCCATACGGACAGCTGTCCACGTGATTCCATCAGTTAAGGGGAAGAACGTCACTGTCTCACTTAAGCAGGATGCCTATTTGAAAGCTTTTTCTCAGGAATAATTCAAATTACCCTGTCAGAACCATTAAGTTCCCATGAGAAAGGCAGGCAGACCCCCTATGGGGAACATACTGACTTTAAAAGGACACTCAAAAGATTTTCTGGATTGTTGTAATGTTTGAGCAAGGGGACAACCATCCTCCTTCTCCCTTTCTGAGCATCCAACTCCTCCCTGAGAAGCCATCATCTCTCCACTCTCCCACTCACACAGCCCCTTTAGCCCCATCAAGCCAGTCTGATTGCGGCACATTTTAAGCCAGTCAGAAATAATCAGCTAATTCATTTTCACAAATGGCAAGAAGAAATAGTGCTTGGCAAATGCTAAACTGATGAATCAACTTGTAATAAAATGCACAATGAACCGCAAAGAATTGTTCTGGTTTGGATTTACTCAGTTCTGAAGGGAAACTCAGTTTCACCGAGACCGCCTCGCCTCTTCCATCAAAGGATCTCAATCCCTCTCAGCTTCACGTGTATCATTATCCCCACTTAGAGCTGAGGAAACAGAGAAAGGTAAACGCTTACTTTACAGAATAGTAGGTATTTACAGACCAGATCACAGTTCAGAAAAAGCAGAAGACATTAACTGTACAGAGATGGGAAGCAACTGCGCTGACATGTGGGGAGGGGAGGAAGAAGGGAACTATAAAACCTGAAAACTGTGATATTGTTGAAAAGGTAGGTGTTTGCTGCCAGCTCATGGACCAAAGGATATTTGTCTTCCATGCTTATCCACAGAGAGAGGGCGTCGATGCGGGGAGCCGAGGCGGTTTCTGTCACGATACACTCTGTCCACCAGCCCATGATGCCGAGTTGTTCTGCTTGTGTCCAATCCTGATGACTGAAAAGGAGTCTGACAGAGACACACGAAGTGACAATCAGAAAAATACATGCACGAGCACACAGAACCTATTCATATTGTATGCAAGGCTGTATTAGTCTAAGGAATAAAACTCAAAAAAGATATGGACAAGTGTAACCACGTAAATTTTTCCTCCAACAATATTTTCACTATAGCCATGGAAAGCAATTACCAAGGCTATCTCTTCCAGACAGAGATTAGAGACAAGTGGAGGCAGACCATGCTCGACCTGCCCTCTCATAAATCAGCACTGCTCTCCAACCTTTGTATCTCTAAAATACCACAGGATGAGCGTGGCAGGGAGCTTACCGACAACTGCCGCTGACATTCCCTCGGTGTAGCATGCAGCATGCATCCAGAAGGAACATGCTGACAACCAGAGCTTCAACTACAAGGGCAGGAGATGCAGGAAGAAGATGCACAGTGAGCCTAACATTCACCAGAACACGCCACGTTCTCTCAAAACTTCCTTTCACCCCTCCTTTCAGCATAATTATTTTAAGGGGACACTGATAGGATTAAAAGAAAAAAGAAAAGCAGTTTCCTTCCTCCTCTGTCTAGAAAAAATTACAGCAGCCAATATTTTTTAAGTGATTTTCATTTCCTTCAGGTTGCACAGGGAACCTAGCTGGGTTAATTCCACCTTGAATCTTATCGGCGCTGATATCTTGAGAGCGTTTACTTGTCAGCAAGTGACTCCAGAGAATGAGGATGGCAGAGAAAGGACAGGGAAGATGAATTCCCAGGGAAAACTGGAAAACTTCTACATTTTCAAAAGCCCTTCCCAGCATATACCTGCGGGGGGGGGGAGGAAGTACCGAATGGTCAACCTCTACTTGTACTTCAACAGCAATATATGGGTCTCCGGGGAAAAAAGCTACACAGTCTTCCACTCCTTGCCAATGTGAACAGCTTTGCTGAGTCCCTCAACACCATCTGTTTGGAAATCCAAAATTTCCTCCTCCATTCAGGTGCTGCACGTGGCAAATGCACTGACTGTGCTGTCTGCCAAGCCATGAAACCATCTGGCTTCCACATTAATCTTTTTTTCTTTTTTTCTTTTTTTTTTTTTTAAGTGTCCAGCTTTGGCTGTTTAAATGATTATTTCTAAAAGTTTTAAATTATTTTTAAATGTTTTGTTTGTAATAACTTTCTAAAGAGTCCTTCTACTATTTTAAACTCTTTTCTATTTAGCAAATATTAGTCTCCTTTCCCTTTAGGCACACACAACCTGTGTTAATATAAATGGATGCAAAGTGGCTGTGGTGTTTATTTTCGCGTTTCAGGGCCAACACTTTATATGCAGCAGAATACTGCTTAAGTCAACATGGGACTAGCGAGAGAGCCCAGTGACTTTTTACTGTACGCTCAGTCATAAAGATCACGGTGCTTCGCTTCAGTTCCTTAGCCAGTATGGCTTTCTTGTGTGAAGACTCAGAAAACTCAAGTCATAGCATCTCAATTTTAAGTAATCTAAATTAGAACATGTTGGTTTAATCTCTGCTGCAAACACTAAACAAAAATCTAGTTCTACCTACGTGGCACCACCCAGAACTGGGAATATTCATAATTCCAAAACAACAACAAAAGTTCTTAAACTCTTCTTTGTACTGTTGTTACATCAATTCTACCCCAAGAGGCAGCAAAATTTGCAAATACATGCATGCTTGGAAGGTCAACAGAAGCAGTTTCCTATGTCAGTGGTCTCAACCACAAAGTTACTAAAAAAAGGAGAAGCCGCTCTGAAGCATACAGAATGCAGACCTCACCTGGAATTTAAAAGGAAGCCAATGCATATTAGGAAACAGACAAAAAGTTGAATGCAAAAATAGTTATTTCTTAAGTTTTCCCTTTTTTTGACACAACTTCTATACTAAAAATACAACAAAAATCTAATTTGAGTGCAACAGTGGCACAAGGAAACACGGACCATTCCCTATCACAGGGCTACAATTTACAGAGCGAGGTTTTGGGCAATGCTGTTCTCTGGCTTTCCAGGAACAAAGATCCCAGCTGAATCCCTAACTTGCTTAGGGAAAGCAGAAAAGCGGAAAAACACTTGAGAAAATGGGTTTCACCTCCACGAGGTCTGGCTTCTCCCAGCAACCATCCCATGGAACTTATGCTGGACCAAACACCAGGCAACACACCTCCATTAAAATCCCCATCCCTGCGGGGCACGTGATGCTTAACTATAGTAAGCAACGGTGATTAAAAAAAAAAAAAAAAAGAACAGATCTGAGCATCAATTTTATTTGGATAATGAAGAACTAGAACTGTTTCACTTCCCTGAACACTCAAGGATTTGAGATCAGAACCCAAACTCCATAAAACGTTAAAAAAACAACCCCAAAACAGCTAAATACAGACAGGAAGGAAAAAGCTCAGTGCTCTAAAGCAACAGTGTCCCTTTAAGATTTATCATCAAGACATTGACTTAAGGAATAAAAACGAGCAAGGCGGATGAGGGGGAAAGAGAGGAGCGATACCTACTGGCAGTTCACATTTCGGTGCCTCCTGGTGCCAAGCAGCGTTTGGGTAATCATTCTGCCTTTCCCGATGGAGTTTAACATGCAGGCTAAGTGCACATGCTCAGAGATCGCTTAAATCACAGGCCAAGACAGTGCCAAATAAACCACCGCCTGCACCAAATTAATCCCCCATAAATCATAATTAATCACATGACAGACCACAGCAAGTCCGGGGAGTCTGTACAGGAATTATTATGCATGTTCCAAACTGGGATGCATGGCAAAACCTGTATTTATGTGACAGACCATAACTCCTTTGGAGCCGGGACGGTGAATCAAATAAATACTGCGCATACCAGAAAAAAGTGTAACATGTGCTAAAATACGTATCTACCTGGGCAAACAGTACACCAGTCCTAAATACGTATTTGCACAAACCTAAATACTTGTTTACCAAAGAGACAGGAACTGCTCCAAAGGCTTCTGCCAGAGCTCCGTTGTGCTGTAAATGCAAAGAACCAAAATTCTCAGACACCAACGCTCTCACCAGAGACAAGGCTTCACCTGAGCGGCACATCGTACAAGTATCTTTTGGCAATTTCATCGTACGTTAGCTTAAAACTGAAAAACCTGGAAAGCATTCATCACTGATACAAATACATGGGTTTATTTTGTCGCTTGTCACCATTTGTTATCTGTAACAGTATCAACTTTGAATTTTTGTATGTGTGTGTGTGTATGTGTGAAAAAATATATAAAAACCTGGAGTTTAAGGACAATTTGTTCCCATATCCTCCTCTAGTCATTCATAAATTTTTGAATACTCACTTTGAAGCACTCCATTCGTTTCAGGAGTAAAAGAGTCTATGTAAAAACGGTCAGTAATGGCCATCAAACCCAAAAATACTGAAATACTATTGCTTAAAAAAGAACAGTAACCATGAACCTCCTTAACAAGAAACTAAAGACAAAATCTTCAACAGAGCAGACACTTGTAGAGTAACACTGAGGACATCATAACATTACAAACCTCTGAACTGTATTCCCTAAAGGCAACCAGATTAAAATAGACATTTGCTTCTCCTCTTGCACAAGATTCAAGCTTTTAACCTCCACAAATTCAGCTGTCTACATGTATGTCAAAATACACAGTTAGAGGACGTCATCAATAGTTTCTCTGTATTTATTAAGTCCGCCTTCATCAGAAAGCCACAAACTGCAAAATTTAGTTCTTACCACATCCTTGCGAGATAAAATACAAATGTTACTACTCAAAAAAAGGAAAACTAATACAGAAATTTTAATTCTAATACAGAAATTTTAATTATTTTGAGCACCGTAAATCAACAGAAATCAGGAGTCCCAAAAGCATCCATCACCTAATCCTTTCCACTGTACAATATCTTCCGTCCAAACATGCTTACTAACAGCAAAACATTCACATAAAACACTGATTTTCTGTTTATAGCACTTTACCTCTGGAGTCACACCACCAGAAAAAAAAAAACTCAAACCAGTACATCCTTACATTTACTTTTCAGCCAGCCCAAAGAAAAGTGACTACTGTGATACCAGACTGTGTCCCGTTCCCCCTTCTCCTCTCCTAAACCCCATACATTACTCCCATGGAACATACACAATGCCACAGGGTACCTTCTTCCACACCCCCATCTCCCAGTGCTTTCCACATCCCCTTGCGTGACTTGCTTCCATTTTTGCATTTGAGTCTACAGTATCTTCGCAGATTTCTTTACGAATTTGGTACTGAACAAAAAAACCCAACAAAATAAACCAAACCCACCTCCAGGAATGTTCACCCACAAAGAAACTGCATCACCTCTGCCTACTCTTGACCCAAAGGCATCACAACTGGGGGCAAGAGAACTAATATCTAACACTAGATATATACAATACAAAAATATCCACACATCCCATACACAACTATACTCCATTCCAAAAAAGCAAACATTTTTAAGCCAGGGAGACTTGCTGAGGCCACGGTGCTGTGTTCTGAAGCAGCAGCTACCTCATGGTCCCCTGTGAGGAAAAAAAATAGCCCGCAGGCACAGCATTAATCAACGAAAAGAAAGAAACCCCCAATTAAACTCACCTGGAAGGGCAGATCCATGGCACTGTTTCCAATCTGATTCACATTTGGCAGTGACCCACCATAGTACTGGCCACGACTCTGTCCCAGTTGCAAATATTGAGTTTTCTGCAGCTGTAACTAAAAGAAAAGGAGAAGGAAAGTGTAAGAGCAACTCATTTATTTTTCAACTGTTTTAACTAACTCAACTCAACACCAAATCCACTCTCACCAAAAGTGGACACCATCTATAAACAGCATGAATTCAACTTGCGCGAGTGGATGTCAACCTTCTCCACAAAGCACGGCTGGCAACCTGCCACCGTCGGTCTTGTGCGATAGCGTAAAGTGATGGAAGAAAAATCAACTTTGTAGTCAGCGATCGTATTCGATTTCCAAGAAATAACCGCCACATGAAACCCCACAGTTCTTCTGTCACCTGCTATTCTGAAAACCGGGAGGTAAAAAACCCCGTGTGAGCCTGATCATGACTCTAATATCAAAATTAGCCAGCTGTTCATGTCACCTTAATTTAGTATATTGAGTATACTGTTTAACCAAACAGTCGACCTTTTCGCTATCTAGCTTTCCACCATTAGGTAAGTGGTCTTGTTTCTTGCACCGGGAAGAGCTCTGTGGGAGCGCAGAGACACAGGTTTTCAAAGAAAACCCAACCAGCCAAAGCAGAAAAAACAGCAAAGAATTCCTCACTGAACAGGTATGCGTGAAAATAAATGTGACGGTCTGCAAAGTTTCAATAAACACTAGGTATCACCCTTCAGTTCTGAATGACACCTCTCTACTGAAATATTCTAGCCTGCTTTCCCGTCGCTGTACACGCTGCTGGCGTACAAAAAAGTGTGCAAGAGAAAGCTGTTTCTCTTCTATTTGAACATCAACTTATTTTCATTGTCGCTTCGTTCAGAACACTACACAGTCTCAACAGCTCATTAATAAGAGCTACAATTTTTGAGTAATCTTTTGTTAGTGACCTTTCTCAATTTTTTAATTTAGTAGTACCATTATTTAAAATAATTTCTCGTTCAATTCTGTAATGATCCCGCTCGATACATCTAGATTTAATACCACGCTGCCATTGAAGCCCTATTTTATTTACACTGATAAAGCAGAATTTGCAATCATCTGAACACAACAACCCAGCTCCCAGGGATGCATCTTCCAAGGACTCAAGAAACTACAATTAAAGTAGCAACAAAATGAGCTTACATAAGTTCCCTCTCCTCCCACTGTGGAGGAGTACATATTTTATAATGTATGTTGTTCCTCGCTAGATGTCAACCAGTTTTGCACTCTGAAATGCAAGAACATTCCTAGATTGGTAGCAAAGAATTGTTTAAAGACTAAATGTTCAGATCTTGGACTAGATGCAGGTTGGTTGCTAAGGTACTGTAGTGTGTACATCAACAAATCTGGTTTAGTTTCATTCAAACAGATCCGCAAGCCTTCGCCTCGCAACGCCAGGGTTTAGAAGAGCAACGGTTGGAAAAGCACTAGAAAAGGCGGCATCCCCAAAACTGGATGTTTACATGGGTGGTTTGGTTTTTTTCTTTATGCTTTCTTCAAGCAAAGGAAACGGCAGGATGGAAAGGAGTGGCCCTGCCTCTACAGCTTCACCACAAAGGCCCTGAGGTTGAGTGAAGATGTTTCTAGCACCTTCCGTCTTGCCAATGCGATCTGTGCAGAGCCCTCCGATAAAACGGTAACACCGCAAGCGGGGATGCCGAGCGGCGCTGACAGCGAAGATACCGCGCTGCGCGCCGATAGCGCCAAGACAGGACAGAGAGAAAAGGCACCACTCTGCCTATATCATGCAGACATTTAGGGGTATATATATTAGAATAGTCCCTAAATAGAGGAGGAGGAAACGAGATCACCCTGAGGGAAACAGTGCATGCATTCTTCCGCCTTTAAAACTAGCCCTAGGAGAGCAACTCAAATACCCTCTATTCACAGAATCTCCCCTAGAAGCCACCAATTTCCAAATACAGAGAGCCACAATCTGTATGCCTTAGCTGAGGGGCCCAATTAATCCAAAAACTTACAACTCTCAGAGATGAAACCTCTCTATGGAACGGGCACTCTCGAAAGCCTCAACTATTCAGGCTGCATACCAGTCACAAAGTGGCTGACGGTTTTTTTCTTAACCAAAGGGCAGATAAACCCCCTCACCCTGAAGACCTAGAAAATATTCACACCGTGCTCTATCAAATGTCCAAAAAAATCCCATCTAAAAAGCAGGAAACGCCCCCCTGCTTTTTCTTTTGCAATCTTTTGACACGTAATTACAATCCAGTGCGCTCTAAGCAATACATGAAATTAGAGAAAGGCTCCGCGCTGGTATCACTTAATGAGTCACAGCCCCTCTAACTCTGAGCTGCAGATCACTAAAAGCACAATATCAGAACTAGATGTGCTTTTTGCCTGGCCTGTACATATGTTTTTGTTGTTAAAAAAAGGCTTGCTGGGGATTTGTGCCAAACATTGAAGTAACTATTTCAACAGGTGTTGGGTCCTTTTAAAAAACCTACTAGAAGACGCCCAGGGAGGAGGGGGGGGCGCTTTATGTTTTTGTAATGTTTTGGCCTTCCCCAGTACATACCTACCTCAAAGCATAATGTAACGAGGAGGTCACCGCTATTTGCCTTTCCACGGCAGTTAAACGTGGAAACGAGGAAACACAAGAGATCGAGAACTAAAGCGCTTCTCACAAACGAGCTTGTTAAATGGCTTTGCAGTATCATTAATTTTAGTAACGCTACCTTCGACAAACACTTTTGGAGACCCGTGCCAAAAATAAGAAAACTGATTGCTTGTTATTGCTGTCATCTATCACTACACCAGCGCGCAGATCTGTATTTGTTCCTCTCTTCAGCCTCCTGCCTTTGAAGAGCGAGTGGCCCCCAGACTACGCGCTGCAGAGGAGACCGTCAACAACTGCCACTTGCAATCTGGGAAGATCAAGAGTAAGCAGAGCAGGCCGGTCTGCCGAGCGCCTCGAATCTCCAGCTTTTTAGCATGTCAGAAAACACGTTTCAATCCTGCGACGTTAGACCTCGCCGCCATTCCAACAGGAGAGCTCGAGCGAAACCAGCTCACGTCGTTCAAAGCAGAGGATCGGCAAAGAAACCTGCACCTCTCACCGTCAGGCTTCGAGAGAACTCGGGAGTCTCGAGTCTTACGAAGGGGACCTGCGTACGAAGAAAAGCAGCACCGAAAATGAAAACCAACATCGGTTGTGACTAAAACGAACATTTCCTCCTTTTTCTGTAAAACTACCTTGCGAGGTGAATTAAGTATATTGCACGATTTGGGGCTCGGGGATTAGGTTTGAAGAGGGGGATTGTGGGATTTTATTTTAAAAGAAAAAAGAAAAAAAGCAAAGCCTTTTCTTAATATAAAAATTCAGATTACTCTTAAAATGTTAACAAGTCTCACGACAACTCTAGCTTTATCTCCTGGGGTTAGATTCAATTAGTGGCAACTTGCTTTCTATATGAATTTAGATAGTGAAGTATGATAATGAATTACTTAGTGTTCACCGGATATATTAATTTCTTGAACCACGAGAACTTAGTGACTCTACATTACAGCTTTTCCATTTATGTATTATGTGGCCAAGATAATAGCTCCTTGACAGCTGAAAATATTGCTAAATATTCCAGTTCTTTCCTGAGAAAGCTTTGGGTAACGAAAAAGCTTTTGCTTGTTAAACCCTATTATTTCTGCTTGGCATTCTTGTTCAGAAGAAATGTTTCCCAAACGACAGATCCTGACTGAATCCGTAATTTCCCCTCCACCAGCATTTCTCTTATGCTACTTACAGAAAAATGAAGATTTTAAGTTAAAATCCAATTTAATCATTAAAAATCAAGTACTTCTGCACAAGCAAGTTTCTAGAATAGCTGAAAACATCCCCCAAATAAAAAGCTGACACGCTGTTGGTTCGCCAGATTTGAAGTTATGTGAAAACAACTAGGTTTCTGCAAACCTGCAAGAGTAACAATCTGCGAGGCAGTAGCAGCACCTTTACAGCAAACAGGAAAGGAATCGTTACCATTCCACGTAGTAATTAGGAATTTTCAAGCAATTACATTCTTAACTCAGCTAACAGTTGAGTAACATGACATGATCGTCCTCTGGTTAATGGAACTGGACACACACAACTTCGGTAAGAAATCAAAAATATTTGATTTAATGCAATTACTGACTTGCTAACAATGGAACGTTCTTCCAGATACTCACTTTTACGTGAACAACCTCAACTTTCCATTTAGATCAGGTTAACGTTTGCTGGATATACAGTTGTGTTTGTAGGGAGAGATTCAAGTTACACAGTAACAAAGAAAAAGGAGAGAAAGATATCCCTAAAAGCAGATCCAGTTTTCCTACAGACTTTCTAAGCGTCCAAAAATACGCAGATAGGAATCAAAGGATGCATTCATTAAAACTGAACGCTTCACCTTCTCTAAATTCTTCCCCCAAAATTCCAGGCAAATTACAAACTTATGGACAGAACTTAACTGTAATCGAAGGGCAAATCTGACACTGGAATTAAGTCAATCAAAATCCACTAGAACCGTTTCTTTTTAAATGCCCTTTTTAATACATAAAAATTGGATTCCCATAACCGTAATAAAAGGGTGGAGTGTCCGTTTGATAAAAACCCCCTAAGATATCTGATGAATACAGGAAGTAAGATTTCGTGACAACTGCTCTTTTGCTGGTTTGCAGTTTCCATACCAAGCTTTCTCATAAATTTCAGTTTTTCACTGTAGAAAGCTTTCTCTTTAGCATGTGGAGACTAATAAGCAGCAAAACAAGTGCAGATTAAAATTAGAAGTGTATTATTAAAGCTTAATTGGAAATTAAATTCTGTTTAAAGGATTAACTGGAAGTTTTAGAGACTGAATTATAGGTAAATCCTGTTGTTCAAATCAGTTCAAAGTTTCCCAGTTGGATACGTCTGAAATTTCCCAGGAAGGCTTTCTCCTACAGCAACCAGAGGCAGGACCCACCACAGA